ATCCTTTCCCCGCCGATATCAACACTATGTACGGCTATCAACCGATACCGGCCGGCCCAATGACTGCGGTTCCTTATCAACCTTACATGGAACCGTTTTCTCTCATGAGCATGATCTCGATGCAGTTGTAAGTTGTACCCCTTATTTTTTATCGTGTCGCTCTTGTGATTAGCGGCAGAAATTGATTCGGACAGGGAATACTATTTTTCCGTCGACAATCTTTGCAAAGATCTATTCCTGCGCAAGCAAATGGACTCTCAGGGCTTTGTACCACTGTCCGTCATTGCTAGCTTCAAGCGCATCAAGACTCTCACCGAAGATTTCGAATTGCTGCGCCATGCTTGCCGCCAAGTGAGAAACGTTGAGTATCAGACCGGTGAGGATGCCATTGATCGGTTGCGACCAAGAGAGAAATGGGAGCAATGGGTTCTTCCCGTCGAGCAGCGCGATCCTTCGGCTCAGAATGAGGGCCCACTTCTGTCCACAGATGCCAGCAAGTCGGATGAGCAGAACCACGTCGACGATACAACGAATGGTTTTCCGAATGGTACCACTGAGCCCCAAGTCTTGAAGACCTCGCTCTCTTCTACCGCGCCGGAATTCTCACCGTCGAACCTAGTGATTGCCCAGACTGAAATCGCAAATGTAGGGATCCCCATTGATGACCATCCCTTCTCAGATGATAAAATTGAGAAGTTGATGGTCGTGGTGCGCAGGCCAAAACTCTCTAGCGCATCACGGCCTCAGCTTCTTGACAATCCCCCCCATTCCTTGTTCAACAGATCTGTTGACACTTCTAGGACAGCGGGTGGACTAGCTCCCTCTAGAGAATCATCCCTCCCTCGTCCCACTGTTTCGACGGCAAATGACATTAGGTATATTTCACCCTTCGTGCTTTCAGTGGCGTCTTCTCCCACTGCTCGTGATTATACTAATCGTGAAGCAGTCAACACGTGAATGATACGACACACAATAGTCTTCCTTCGTCGACACTCGGGGATGGAAAGCAAGATATTCAAACCAGTCTCCTGCTGTCCTCCGATGATTTAGTCCACGAACCTTACAGTGTTTTCCGAAAACGAGTTCTTTACGAACAAAAACTAACGCCCAATCAAGATGATGACCGCGAGATGGATGTCCTGTACCAATTCTGGTCACATTTCTTGGTTCAAAATTTCAATGCACAAATGTACAATGAATTTAAGAGTCTAGCGCTTGATGATCTCTCTTCACGAAACGCCAGCAGCGGGTTCAACAGGCTCATCCGGTTTTACGGTGCTTTTTTGTCGAGCAAGAAGATCCTCCCTGATGAGGTGGTCGAAGACCTCCTTGTTTTATGTAGGAGGGAAATGTCTAGCCACCTGAGTGGGCACATGGCTTTAGACACTCTACGTTCGGCCTGGCATAGTCAAGCCTGCGACGCAAGAAATCGCCTGAAAATCGACAGCCTTCTCGATGCTAGCTTGAGAGCCGAGCTGGAAAAGTGATTTTGTTATTCTTCCTTTTGCTTCTTCCGTCCTCAATTTTTTTTTGTGCTTCTCTATCATGACTTGCATCACTACATCTCAGCTTCTGCATCTACGGTTATTTGTGGCGAGTTCCCGCTAATCAATTCCCACGATGAGGTGGAATTATTCGGCTTCTCGTCTGTTTGTCTTTCTTATTCCGACGCTCCCCTCTTTTTTGCTTCAGTCATGGGAGGGTTAAAAAACTTTTCGGAGTCCGGGCATGATTTACTGGGCAATATCACCTGTGTCTGATGCTTGCTTCTGCAGTGCGCTGGGCGTAAGCGATTTCCCACGGCCATAGAGTTTACTTCTGCAACCTTTTTTTTTTTTTCTCTGATTTTCTCTTTCCACTGCGGTAACCTGTCCCTTGTCCTGCATGCGAGTCTCTGTACGAATGGAAGGAAAATGGAAAAAAAGAAACCTCATGTTTGAAACGAGCAATACCTAGTCGACTGCGCACAGGAGAAAATGGCGAAGCGCCGTACGGATTCCCGTCCCATACGCCCTAGGACGACCCCAGAGCAAGATCTTTAGTGATATCTGCTCCATCTGCTTCCTCGGTGCCTTCTGCGGTGCTGCATCTTTTCTCTAACATCCTCTTACTCTCATCCTTCTCCTTCTATTTTGCATAAAATGGGTTGTCAGTTCTCTTACTGTGAGAGTAATGCGACATGCATAATACGGGTCATTGTTTGCTTTTTTGTTTCTCGGAACGTGATTATTTTTTCTTGGGAAAAGGAGGATCATTTCAGACCTGAAATACACAAATTTCCTGACCATGATTTCAATCATGCCATGAGTAGGTTTCCGTATTAGCGAATTGCTTCCAGGAGTACTCCTCGGGGTTATGGGTTGAGTTCTCAAAGCTTGAGTCGAAGTGCCTGATCGAAATCTCCGACATACGATTATTATAAGTGTGGTCTTTCTCGTGCTCACCTCGTCCCTCTTGAAGTTATGAACAACGGCTCAAATGAAGTGGAATTAATTTCCTAAACAGGAAATTGTGACTTAACTACGGCAAGGTAGTTAGTTAGTTAGTTAGTTAGGAGCTAGGCGGTGACTCAGCATGAGCTTCTGCCTCAGGCCATCGAATCGGCAAGTGACGAACGCAGTAGCCAGCTGCACCCGAGTTTCTTCCCCACGAGAGCTGGTCTGATCAGACTTGTCCTAAATACTCCAACTTTGTCCCATACATCCTTCGGCTCTTCCCCGTAGTTACTCCCTCGAGATGGAAGTGACGTCCAGGCAGTCATCGAGACTGCTTCGGTCTTCCATTCATGGTTCTAACCGCCTCCCCCTTCGGATCCCTTGTATTTCAGCTACCAACACCCTGAATTCCATTCGACGGCAGAATGTCTCCTCAACATCTCGACGGCCTGCGCCAGAATCATCACTGCTAGGCTTCGGACCCGGTTCGTCGGCTGGCGGCGCACCCGCGACCTACTTTTCCAATCGCTCTGCGCTTCCCATGAACACCGTCATTCGATTCGTCCCTCAGCAAACAGCATGGATCGTTGAGCGGATGGGCAAGTTCCATCGAATTTTAGAGCCTGGGTTGGCAGTTCTGATCCCCTTTATCGATCGGATCGCATACGTTAAGAGCTTGAAGGAGTCTGCCATTGAGATACCGAGCCAGAATGCCATTACTGCTGATAACGTCACGTTGGAGCTGGATGGTGTGCTATATACGAGGGTGTTTGATGCCTACAAGGCAAGGTGAGTGCTCTTTTGTCCAGCGTCAGAGGGGGCAGGGGAAAGGGGACAGCAGGTCGTGCGAGGGAGACCTGATAAATAAGACCAGCAAGCTGACTCGTTTTAATTACCGATCAGTTACGGCGTTGAGGATGCCGAGTATGCCATTTCCCAACTAGCACAGACAACGATGCGCTCGGAGATAGGTCAGCTCACGCTAGACCACGTGTTGAAGGAGCGTGCCACGTTAAATACCAATATTACGCAGGCTATCAATGAGGCAGCTCAGGACTGGGGAGTGGTCTGTCTACGTTATGAGATTCGGGATATCCATGCTCCAGAAGGGGTTGTTGCAGCCATGCACCGTCAGGTGACGGCAGAGCGGTCAAAGCGTGCGGAGATTCTCGAATCTGAGGGTCAGCGACAGAGTGCGATCAACATCGCGGAGGGTCGGAAGCAGTCCGTCATTCTTGCATCCGAGGCTCTGCGGGCTGAGCAGATCAACCGTGCTGCTGGTGAGGCTGAGGCGATCATGCTCAAGGCGCGGGCGACTGCCAGAGGTATCGAGAACGTTGCTAAGGCCATGGCGGAGGGCAAAGAGAATGCGCACGGTGCCGTCAGCCTCAGAGTCGCAGAGAAGTACGTCGAGGCCTTCTCAAATCTTGCGCGTGAAGGAACGGCCGTTGTTGTTCCTGGCAATGTTGGCGATCTTGGTGGAATGATTGCGAATGCCATGGCCGTCTATGGCAAGGTCAACGAGAGCCAGGCGCGCTCCATTGCGGCAAAGGCCGTCGGAGTGCAGGAGCCAGCTCAGGTAGAGCACTCAAATCAACACAAGGCAGAAAAGCACACTTCTGAGCCAGAGCATCAGGCGCAGTCCCAGACCGAGACCGACAAGGTTGAGAATGTCGCTGATAGTGTCTTGGAAGGATTTGACCAAGCGAGTCAACAGAGAAGATAGAGGAGTCTCGTTGAAGATTTTTCTCTTTGATAACCTCTTGGTACAATCCTCCAGACTTCGGGCGTTTCCTTTTTCGCTGAGGGCATCTCCCTCCATGACTCCCTCCCGCTGAAATGATCTGTTGGTCTACGATAATATCTCGTGACAACTTGTACCTTACGACCTCTCGTCTTTTGCAACCATGATTCCACTTCTCAACAACATCTAGCATGTTCTCAGGAGTGCAGGCAGGGAGCCACCGTGGCGAAGAACAAAAGTTGTCGTCGGCAAGTGTTGGTCGGCATTAGCTGATTTTTCTTACACTTATCCTTTCTCTCCTCCTGTGTATAATGTACAGTATTCCAATAGTAAGGTGGAGGCAAAAATAGCATCAACCTCCTACATCTCACCCTCAATGCAGGATATGCAGTCCAATGTCAAGATAAATATGTGGATAGTCCCTGCAGGCGGAGAATATGAGGAAGCATGAGGAAGCTCGGACCATCCGACTCCCGCGCCTGGAGATCGCGACTTGCTAATCGGTCCTCCTTTGTTCGCGTTGGCGTATTTCTTAGATTAATCTCCAGACATATTTCGAAGCAACTGACTGGCGCATCCCTTTTGCTCAACGTGAAGGTTTATTTCAGTCAGCAGCTATTTCCGGTTCTTATCTCTTCTGTCATTCGTTCAAGAATAATTTATCATCGGATGAGCCTCAGCGCCGTTGCTCTGCGATGCTCCCAATGAACCACAGTCCTACATCCACGTCAGCCTACTAGGAGCCCAGCCCGAACATAGCGGTCCTACGCAGAGAAAAGAAACATCATCGAAGTCTGAGAGCGAAAAACGCAGCTGTTGCGATGCATATTATCAAGCCGGTTTGGCTGACCCATGGAGGTGCATTTTCTCTTTCTTTTGTGTTGGCTCATTTGCGATACCATGAACCGCACATCTTTACTTCGGGGATCTCGACCTGGCTACTAAACCTGTGCTAATACTGTTTCTTGCTTGGATAGGGGAGAGAAAAGACTTCGAGGTTTACGCTTGCGATATATCCCCGGACGGAAGCCGTTTGGTCACAGCAGCTGGAGGTGAGAAGCTCCCTGACCCATCTACGGGCCTAGCCGTACGGAACACGAGTTTGGGACAGTTGCTGATATGAGCGCTTCTACCCTGGGTGCAGATGGATACGTTCGAATATGGTCTACGGAAGCGATCTATAATACGGGAAACCCCGAGTATGCGAACAAGCCCAAGCAGCTTGCGTCGATGAGCAACCACTCGGGCACGATTCATACGGTTCGATTCTCGCCCAATGGGAAGTACCTGGCGTCGGGCGCGGACGATAAGATAGTCTGTATTTATACGTTGGATGCGAATCCTCCTTCACATGCTTCGACGTTCGGTAGGTGCTGGCTTATGTGACCGTGCGAAGGTAGCTGGCTAACCGGTGTTATCTTCGGAAATGCTAGGGTCGAACGAGGCACCACCTGTGGAGAATTGGCGCACGATACGGAGGTTGATAGGCCATGACAATGATGTTCAAGATCTAGGATGGTCGTACGATTCCTCAATCTTGGTATCTGTTGGGCTGGATTCCAAGGTCGTGGTCTGGTCAGGGCATACATTCGAAAAGTTGAAGACGTTATCCATCCACCAGAGCCATGTCAAGGGAATTACGTTCGACCCGGCAAATAAATACTTCGCCACGGCGAGTGACGACCGCACAATCCGTATCTTTCGATTTACCTCGCCGTCGCCGAATTCTACGGCCCATGATCAGATGAACAATTTCGTGCTCGAACAGACCATCTCCGCGCCTTTCCAAAACTCACCACTTACTGCCTATTTTCGTCGCTGCTCGTGGTCTCCAGACGGAATGCACATTGCGGCTGCCAACGCAGTGAACGGGCCTGTTAGTTCTGTTGCAATTATCAACCGAGGTTCGTGGGATGGTGATATCAATCTCATCGGCCACGAAGCACCGGTGGAGGTGTGCGCTTTCTCCCCGCGATTGTATTCAAGTCAACCGGTCAGCAAATCGGCGGTTGAAAACCAAAATCATGCGATGCAAAACGTCACCGTGATTGCATGCGCCGGGGGAGACAAGTCACTGAGCATTTGGATCACCAGCAACCCCAGACCCATTGTGGTCGCCCAGGAGATGGCTGCCAAGTCAATCTCGGATCTTGCCTGGAGCCCCGATGGAAAATGCCTCTTTGCGACTGCCCTCGATGGTACGATTCTTGCCGTTCGCTTTGAGGACGGAGAGCTAGGCTACCCAATGGCGATGGAGGAGAACGAGAAGTCGCTCACAAAATTTGGCACGAACAGAAGAGGCGCTGGCATCGCTGAAACTACGGATGGGCTACTGCTTGAGGAGAAGAGCAAGGCTGGAGAGATCAAAGGTGTCGAGGGGCGAATGGGTGCTCTAATGGGCGATGGCCATGCCACCGCAGACAGTGTGGTCAATGGCAAGTCGGCACCACTTCCGTCAAACGGTGCAACGCCTGCACGAGGTCCCTCGCCCGCTCCAGATACGCAGAAGGCTCAACCTAACGGCACAGCAGCAACACCAGCAGCTCCAGAACCGGAGAAGCCAGATCCATATCAGGCGAAGTTGGAGAGGCTGAAGCAGCGCCCGACGTACACGAAGGATGGCAGGAAGCGAATTGCGCCTCTTCTGGTGTCAGGAGCCGGCGCGGCAGAGTCATCTCTCCCTCAGGCACGGCTCATGGCTTCGGTCAGTAGCCAAGTGAAGGCTGATGCGCCACAGTCGATTGTTGATCTTTCGAAACCTTTTGATGGGTTACCTAAGGGTGGACTTGCTGCGTTGCTTTTCGGTAATAAGCGAAAGCTCGCGCAACTCGAGGGCGATGAAGATGGACACGTGGAGAAACGGGTGGCACTGGCGAGTCAGAACGGCGCGACACCGATCCTCGCAAATACGCCGGATGGGCTTCTTCCGGCGCAACCTCAACCTGCACCAACGGGACAGCAGCCAACGCCGGAGTTCATAAGGCCTGCTGTAACGAATCCCTGCATGGCGATCAGCCAGCTCCGCCTCGCAGTACCAAAAGTCCGCAGCCAGATCGTGCGGGCCATCGATTCCAACGGCAGGCCGACGGAACAGCCTAGCGCTACTACAGGAGAGCCGGGCAAATCGCGGGCTGACGTTGTCTTCGAGGCTCGTAATCCTTCCCCTGCAAGCCTAACAGGTAGAGCGGTAGATCGCGAGCCTGTACGCCTCACGCTGTTTCGCGGCGAGCAGCCATTATGGCAGGATTTCCTCCCACGGACTGTGCTTCTCGTGACTGGGAACCAGAGCATGTGGGCCGCCGCCTGCGAAGATGGATCGGTCTACATCTGGTCGCCCGCAGGCCGGCGACTTGTCAGCGCTCTCGTGCTTGAAGCGCAACCTGTGATTCTGGAATGCAATGGCCCGTGGATCCTGTGTATATCAGCGGTGGGCATGTGCTATGTCTGGAACGCCAAGCATCTTTCTTCCCCTCACCCTCCCATCTCTCTCCAACCCGTGCTAGATGCAGCAATTCACACGCTGGGTGCGCATCCATCCGCGGCTCCAGCAATTACCAATGCGCGAATCAACTCCGAGGGCCGGGTGGTGGTCGCATTGTCCAATGGCGAAGGTTACTCCTATTCGCCTTCCATGTACACCTGGCAGCGCGTCTCTGAGGCCTGGTGGGCTGTCGGCAGCCAGTACTGGAACTCCACGGAAGCTCCGGTGGGCAACCTGCAGTCTGCGGGACCACAGCAAGACAAGGAAGCCAAGGCCGCTGTCTCAGCCGGCATCATTCCGTTCCTGGAACGCAATACGACGAATGAAACTCTTCTCCGTGGACGAGCGTACTTCCTGCAGCGGCTGATCAAGGTCCTTCTGTCTCGCGAGGGCTACGAGAGCTTCGAGTCAAGCGTGTCTATAGCTCATTTGGAAAACAGACTCGCCGCAGCCTTATCGCTGGGAGCTAAAGAAGAGTTCCGGCTCTATTTGTCTATGTATGCCAAGCGGATCGGAGCGGAAGGTCTGAAGATGAAGGTCGAGGAGCTGCTGAAGGGGCTGATTGGTGGTCTGTTTGAGGAGGAGGACGAGACAGGCACAGTCCGCCGGCTACAAGCGAACGAAAAAGAAGATCGAAACTGGCAGGAGAGCTCGGAGACCCTCTGTGGCTGGCCACGCGAGGTGTTGTTGAAGGAGGTGATTCTAGCCTTGGGTAAGTTGCAGAAACATTTTTTCTACTTGGTTGTGTCATCTGTACTTGATGGACGTACGTCGCTAACTCTTTCTTTCCTTTCTTTTTATCAGGTAAACACCGGGATCTTCAGCGAGTGACCGTTCCCTATGCCAAGCTGCTGGGCGTGGTGGACAACGAGTCCGAAGACGACGATGCGATGGAAACATAATAATCAGAGAAGAACAGTTGACAGTCTCATTCTTTTCGTTTATGATCTTTCTATACGGCGTTGATGATGCGGATTCTACACGGCCGGCTTTGATTGAGCGGTAGCCATTTTCTTTTACCTTATTGTCAAGGAGCTACGGATTCAAGGTTCCTTGTTCGCTTCCACTTCATATATCCGGATGTAACATACTTTTCATGCTATAGTCTTGTTCTCCATCTGATCTCTGAAAGTGATTGAACTGTGTCGCAAAGAGTTTTCGCGGCCATCACTGGATCCCTTCTTCTAATCACGATCACATAAACTATGATGTTATTAATATGGAGTAAGGGAATATCACGTGCACGATCCAGGGCTCTGCAGTCATGTGAGCGGTGAGATGTGGACCGGCAGAAAAATGGCAAAATTTCTGGAGGAACAAGAAAAGCACGAGAAAAGCATCAGAACAGAGAAATCTAGGCGAATTCTGTATCTACAAGTAGGAAAGGAAAACATCCCGATCTCAATTATTCTTCCAACCGTCATTTGACCGCATAAAGAAGATTATTCCCCTTCAATTGACCCCTTCCTCCCTCTCTTCTTTCCCAGTCTCTTGTCTGCCCACTTTCGGTGGGCGCTCTTCATCACGTCTCCCGCACCGCCCTCCGTCTTTCTCTTCCTTTCTCTTCCCCTCCGTTTAGAACGATCCGCAGCTGGTTCTGCTTTTGCCTCGCGCCTCCATCAGTTCTCTCCTTTCTTCTCCCCGTTTTCTTCTTCTTCTTCTTCTTATTTTTCTCCGTTCTCCCGCCGAAACTACTCCAGCAAGAAGAAGAAAAAGATGCCTCCCAAGAAGGCCGTTGTCCAGGAGAAGGTCCTGCTGGGCCGTCCAGGAAACAACTTGAAGAGTGGTATCGTATGTGAGCATTGACCCCACCGTACTATTTTTTTTTCTGCCCTATTTCCCAGCCTTTTCGCTTTTTTCTCTCTCTCTCCTATTTAAATCACAGTTCCCATCCGACAACAGTTTTTTTTTTTTTTTCATTTACATCCTCCTCGTCCTACATCATGTAGCTTTCACCATCTGCCATTCACACACAGATGTGAAGAAACCAACATGCAATCTAATAATTCCTCTTGATTAGGTCGGTCTGGCCAACGTCGGCAAGTCGACGCTCTTCCAGGCCATCACCAAGTCTTCTCTGGGTAACCCGGCCAACTTCCCCTATGCCACTATCGACCCCGAAGAGGCTCGTGTCATCGTGCCTGATGAGCGATTTGACTGGCTTTGCGAACACTACAAGCCCAAGTCTCAGGTTCCCGCCAACTTGACCGTGTATGATATCGCCGGTCTGACCCGCGGTGCCTCTACCGGCGCTGGTCTGGGAAATGCTTTCCTTTCCCACATCCGTGCCGTCGATGCCATCTTCCAGGTTGTCCGATGCTTCGATGACGCTGAGATCATCCACGTCGAGGGTGACGTCGATCCCGTCCGTGATCTGACCATCATCAGCGAGGAGTTGCGGATCAAGGATATCGAGTTTGTTGAGAAGGCACTCGAGAACTTGAGCAAGCAGACACGGCGCGGTGGACAGTCTCTTGAGATGAAGAAGCTGCGTGAGGAGGAGGCTACCGTCGCCAAGGTGCTTCAATTCCTGAAAGATGGGAACGATGTCCGCAAGGGTGACTGGGCTCCCAAGGAGGTATGTCATTTTTCCCCCTTTTATTCTCTCCAGTCATTTCTGTATCCGCCCTTTCATATGATGAATAAGAGCTTTGCTCGATATAACCCAGCTCGTCGAACAGCCTCATTTTAATTACAACGCAGAGGCTGTTATGAGATCATGTCCTATCTGAATTAATTTGCAAACCATTTATGTTCTGTTTACGCCAGTTGTCTGTGCTTCAGATACTAATCGCTCAATCAACAGGTTGAGGTTATCAACCCTCTCTTCCTGCTCACGGCCAAGCCTGTTGTGTATTTGGTCAACCTCAGCGAGAAAGACTACATCCGTCAGAAGAACAAGTACCTGCCTAAGGTCTTTGAGTGGATCCAGAAGAACTCTCCCGGTGATCCTCTAATCCCCATCTCCGTCTCCTTCGAGGAGCGCTTGGCTGCCTTCGGCGATGACGCCAAGGCCGCCGAGGAGTGCAAGAGCCTAAACACCAAGTCCGCTCTGCCCAAGGTTATTGTTACTATGCGCCAAGTCCTCAACTTGGCCAGTTTCTTCACCACTGGTGCGGACGAAGTCCGTCAATGGACTATCCGCAAGGGCGTCAAAGCTCCATCTGCCGCTGGTGTGATTCACACTGGTATGATCCTTCCTTTCCCTACCTGATGGGACCTAAGTGCTGATATATGACCACAGACTTTGAGAAGACTTTCATTCAGGCCATTGTCTACAACTACGCTACCCTGCGGGAGTATGGTGACGAAGCCGCTGTCAAGGCTGCCGGCAAGGTCATGACCAAGGGCAAGGACTACGTTGTGGAAGATGGTGACATCCTTCTCATCAAGGCCGGTGCTGCCAAGGGCTAAATAGATCGATCAAAATTTGGATATAGCTCATGTAGGCTGATACCTTGCTTGGGTTTATTTGTGATTCCCACCCAGGCATGGTAGAAAGTACTCAATATCACGAAACTTGAAACTCGAAAAGTTGTCCATTTCTTCGTAGTGCGACCAAGGATAGGTCGAAGAGCGTATTACGCAAATTCAGCTTGTAAATTGAGAATGCGCCTTACAGATCAGGCAACATGACAGCTTCAATTAGCACGTGACGGCTACTGCCCCTCCCCGCGTCAACCGCGTCGTACCATTGGCGCAATTCGTCGGAGGTCGTGAAGGAATAGCGGACTGCTTTGATGCTGTCAAGAGCCCAGTGACCGACCATTGACCTCTTCATTGCAATACCCAAAATGTTCAAGAAAGAGTAAGTACCCCGCGAGTCCAACTCTGTTTCCTGGGTTCCCCTGGGTCTGTGAGAACCTCGTGAGACAGCGGGACCAGTTCTCTGTTACCCCTCCCTCACTGCATCCCGCAAACAGACCAATGCGGAATCCGCCCCAAGGCGAAAATTACTTCATTTATTCGATACAAGCATTAATCAATGTTGAATGCTAACAGAAGATGGGAATAAAGTATCCCCCCGAGCGGCCGCTCAAAAGTCAAGTCCTCGGTGCAGCGCGGCCTCCGCCAAAAACTCCTCGACACATATCCCGGCTTCGAGCCGTATATCGATGAGATCCTCCCCAAGAAAGCCCAGCTCGATGCGGTGAAATTGTACTCGCGCCCTGAATATCCCTTGGACTGGAATCCTATCGATTGAAGGTGGGATGGAGGAAGCAGAGGCTAATGTATGGGACTGTGCTACAGACCGGATCGAGCGACATTATACACCATCGAATCGACCCCTCTGTTCTACCAGCCCATGGATGGGCCCCCGATCCCGCATCTCAAATTGCTTCATTCCTACCCCGATGCCTTGCCGACGGTCCAGATCGATCGAGGTGCGATCCGCTTCGTGCTTTCGGGCGCGGCGCTCATGGCGCCTGGGTTGACTTCGCCCGGTGGGCGGTTACCCGATGCGGAGCATGCGTTGGAGAAGGGGCAGGTGGTTGCGGTCAAGGCTGAAGGGAAGGAGCATGTGTGTCTGGTCGGGCCGTTGAAGGTCGGAACGGAGGAGATGAAGGCGAAGCCAAAGGGTGTGGTCATGGACGAGGGGCATTATTTGGGTGACGGCTTGTGGAAGATGCATTTAGATTGACGTGGCGTTCTCTTGTAAATAACAAATGATCTGAGGTTCTCGTTCTTGCTTGGATTGCCAACTGATTATGCTTTACATGGAAGCAGCACATATATGTCATGGCTGATGAATCTGCTCTCGCAAAAAGAATAGAGATGATCCTGTCTAGTCAATGAAGATGACTATCATCAAGGAGAAACATTCCGACGGTAGTCGGTAGTAGTCGGCGAAGCCTGATAGGCTTAGGAAATCGTCTATATACGGATGGATATTCCAATTGAATACAATTGTAGAGGAGAAGCTGCGACACGCCCTTGTGTACATGCTCAATGGCTGATCGCAGAGAATGTGCTTTGATCGTCTGTCCCGCTGTCCACAGCGGACCCCTGGTCCTCCAGACGAATTCGTTGTCGCGAGTGGGGAGATACGGATGATGTTGGCGATAATGTTGGCCACGGAGGTGAATGAATGCCCAAGCCTAATCCTTTGACACTGATTCCCGAGCCGTTCATGTTCAACCCGCCTCCGGGTTGAACTGTGTTTCTCAGCCCTACCCGCGAGATAGCGCGTCGAAGCATATCCCCAGATGCATCAAGAGCAATCAAGAACCGCGCCAGTTCACCGCAGAGCTCCCAATCACCATTTTGCGACGCGAGACCAATGAGACGGACAACATAGTCTTCAATTGGCGCCTCATGACCACCCTCGTCTTCGTCTTCAAAGGCTTGTAAGACGAGCAGATACCCCACCGCCGTCTTGAGAGAGTTGAGCCTCAGGGCCTGTTCAAAAAGATCCTTCGGAGGAGGCAAGTGGTTGAAAAGTGTGCGCCACGAGCGAAGCTCAGTTTTTCTCGTGCACTGGACAACAATGTCCAAAAACACTTTAGTCGGCAGTGATGCTTGAAGGAATGAAATGACGGATGGCAGTAGTGGCTCGTGCCGTTGAGAGGGATCGTCTGTCTTGCTTTCTTTCCTCTCGTTATCGACCTCATCATCCAGGACGTGGTGCAAAAGCATTTCTAAGGCATGCGGAAAGTACGAGAGGTGGGAGAAACGTTGACATAGCGTAAGTGCCGCCGCGATGTCCCCACGGACAAGATCATGTTGTAGGACATATGGTAGGAATAAATGAGTCTGTTCAACATCAGTATATATGTCAGCATAGATGACATGAATAAGGAATAAATGTGAAGACCTTACCCTTATAGCGAATTTCAGAGCGGCAAATGTGACATCACGTCTTTGTATCATTTCCGACTCGACTCCCAAAACTATGCCCTTGTTCAACAGTACCGACAGAGGGTAGAAGTCTAAAGGCACTTGTATTGGCTTTGGCACTTCCTCGCGTTGCAGAACGTCACGCACATCCCCCCAAACAAGCAATACCTTGCCACAGAACAACCAGAGGGAGTCCCGCAGTGATTGATCACTACGGTGGTACGCACTCAATGCCACCTCGGCCGAGGGACTGGCAGGAACAGACTCGTCCCCTGGCGGTGCAAAATTGAAGGAGAATTGGTCTCGCATCAAGATATAGTACTCAACATCGTGAGAAATCACCCGCATATCATATTTGAGTTCGCCAGATTCAGCCAAGGAGGGTTGTAAGAGAACCATGTTTCCGTCAACCAAGAGCAGCACTGATGCCACCTTTACATCCTGAGACGGGTCACCGTTTCCTGCCAGACGTTAGAAGTTGCCACATTTTACGAAGTCATGAGAATGAAAATGACACTTACGCATCTGATCCTCCGGCAGTACCCAGCTAATCGCCCGAACTCTGGTAGGTGCCCGCACAATACCATTGAACGCAATCTGACCAACAGGGACAAGGGTTATCCGTGGCTGCATCGAGTTGATAATATAATGGTATAAAATGTTGTCGTAAGTGTAAACGAGAAGGGAATCTTCGCCAGAAGGTCCTATGAACACTACCGGCGAGGGAAGGTATTCTATGTGCAATATTGAATGCTTGTTCAGAGGCAATTCTCGGGAATATAGACGCAGCTATAAAAAAGCCATCAACCTTCTGTTGCTTCAAAACAGGTCAATGGTAATCAGAAGACGAACCTCGTAGGAGCCATCGCTTTCGACAGCCGCAATCAGAATGTGCCCGTACCAGCACATGCCACCGCGAACCGCAAACGAATTTTCTGTCTTCGGGTCTTCGAAGACTTTCCAGCGACCACTGTTGACGCTGTAATGCGCCAGTCCCCGTCTACCTGCAATGGCTATATAACGCCCATCTTGCGAGACGACACTCGAGCGGATCGGCCACTGGGAATGAAGGTATGCTGGAGGATACTGTGCATGATGCCACAATGAGTCCTTGCCAGAGATTGTCATAAGATCAGGCAAATCATGGCCGCGATATAGAATGATTTCCGTGCCAGTCTGTAACAAGCCTCTGGCTAGATTCGCAGAAGAAAAGCAGCCCGTAAGAGCGCTTCGGGCTGTTTCAAGGATCCATATGCGACGGTCATTCTGCCCTGTCAGTATGATGTCTGACCCTCCGCCTATCCAGCACCCATTGGATACCCCAGTCAACCAGTCTTCAGAATTGTTTGCAGCGAGCGATCTATCTGCCGAGAAGCTGTTTCCACCCGGTTTGCCAAACACGCTCCATGTTGTCCAGCCATGATCATAGCCCGCAAAAAGACAATATCCATCCGGAGAGTAGGACATAAATTTCAAGCTGCCAATGGTGGCAGGAGAAGCGGGTAATTGGAGCTTGTGTGAGAATGGAACATTCCCCAGATAGTCTTTTGCTGTGTAGACGAGGATCTCACCATTGGCGCAGTTCACTGTGAGCAACGAAAACCGGGCATTGATCGCGACCTTGACTGCTTTTTCACCATCGTGCTTCGGATCATGGAAGCAATGGCCTTGGAAAAGTCTCTTTGGACCTTCTGCCGTGCTGTTCCTCTCCGGCACTCGTTGTACGGCATATGCTTGTCCCTCGCTGGTGACCCACACCAACAGATTGATTGCTCGATCGTAAACCATATCCGTAATAGAGGTCCGCTTCGAAACATTCAAAATACGGCTGAGCAGCTCTGACGTGGTCTGGGCACCGCTTGCGTCAGGAGTCCACCGAATGCATTGGACAGCCGCTGGTTTGACAGTAGCTACAATCAGCTCCCGGTCAAGAGCCAGAGCTTTGACAATACCAGATTCGATCTTGATCGCCATCCGAAAGCGTAGGCTAACATCACGCACCCCATTGGCATCTTCCCCAGCAGACAGTCGAGCGAGCTGCTGACGACGGTTCTGACTTGATTGATCGAAATGTTGTTGATACACGCGATTGGTGGGGTCAGTCGCAATCGTATAAGTAAGCAGATATCCACCAAGTGTCTGCACAGCAAGTATCGTCGAGTCAGGATGCATAAGAAGAGTGTCATTCAACCCATACGTCTTCAAGGATGAGGCGGAGCGGGCAATCGCAGCAACAACTGCGGTAGGCTAACGGCGAGTCAGCAAATCAATTCATACTCCATGACGTCCGAGAGGGCCACAAGGTCATACTCTAGTCTGCCAAATAGCTATCGAGGAATCGGTCATCGTCGCAAATATGTGACCGCTTCGAGAAATACACAGACCAGTAATGGCCTCATTGGCCCAGGCTGACTCGGTTTCGGGTCCCTCTCCCTTAACATTGTGATCCGTTGCAGATCTCTCCTCTTCAGCAACCTCACGCTCATTTGTCTCCGGCTCGATATGTGAAGTAAGTGGAATCCCTGGGCCATTGATCGCATAGACCCGCGGAACTCCATTTGGCCAGTACATGGCTC